TGTGGTATCATGTAGCGTAGCCACAACTCACCATCAATTCTGCCCCATTGTCTCAGTGGATCACGAGCCATTCTGCAACGAAACTGCTTATCATACATGATCCAGCCATCACCCCCAAATGTGACAGCCGCATTTCGTACTGCTTCCATATACGACAGCATTCCCTGCACTGTGGAAGGCGAAGAATGTTTTTCAAGGTAAACAGACATGTAAACATGAAAGCCGGAAGTCCAAGCCCCAATGCCGAGTGGCTTTCCTGACGACAATTTTGCCTGCATCGGAGTAAGTACTACGTTACCTGTGCTGTCAGTCACCATTCGAAAACCTTCCTCCTCGCCGTCGATGTGTTTGTCAGTCAGCAGAGCCAGGTCCACGTATTCACCATTCCATACCCTCTCCTTCAGTGACTGTTTCACGTGTACGCCAATGTTGTCGGCAGCATAGGAGAGGGGATTCCCAAATTGACCAATGGGCGAACCCATGACGTCAGAGGGAAGTCCAGCATTGCCAACCTGAATAAGACTAGAGCTAGCGGCATGGTTAGAATTGGCGGGCGTACGAAATGCCTGTGAGGAAGACGTTTGAGGCAAATTCGATTTGTTAATTAACTCCAAAATTGCACCAAAATAAGCAGACAATTTATCTGCTGCGTTTTCCTGAAAATTAGTATCGGGAGTGCTATTTGGAACAACATTTTCCGGTTCGTGCACCGGGAGAAGGAGTGAAGACTCAACATGAACCCGAGGAACCGTAGACAGGGGTCTATGAAAACATTCTGTGTTTCGTAACTCACCCGACGCATTTGTTGATGAAGCCTTCGTCGAAGACTCAGTTGTTTTCCTCACTTTTCCGCCGTTCCGCACCAACCTGTGATTTGTTGCCGCTCTTCGTTTTGGAGGCATACCGAGTGTGTAGTCGCAAATTCGTAGTATTCCAAACAATATCACCAAGAATCCACACGCTTGAACAATATCAAAGCCTAACACTAACTGCTCGACGAGAAAGCGGAAATATAACTTTTTTGCAAGCGAAAATATAACTTAAAGCAGGATAGAAAGAGGATAGACTGACTGTGTGAATCTGAAAGAAATCAATGGATGAACAAAAGATGACGTCATCAGAAGTAGACACATGACGTCATTGGAATTAACGTCACTGGAAGTGACGTAAGCAAACATAAAAGAGCGGGAAGAATGAACTGAAAGTAAGTGTGAATGGTTTCAATAAACGCATTGAGTGTTAAGCACTAAATGAGATTAATTAATACCTTTTCTCCAAACCGATTCAGGTTGTTCCCCTGGCAGGTACGGTCCCAACTGTGTCCGACACTGCAACTCCCGACATTGTAAGACACGTTCATCTGAATGTGACAGTATAAACGGGACGTGTTTTCTTGGGTGTGGAGATGGATGGACAGAAATAGACTGCTCTGAAGGTAAGTTACACAATACCATCGTCCTTCAGAGAGTAGAATAGTCATTTTAGCAGGAATAGCCTCATGTCAGCCATACTGTTATTGTCAGTGTTGATATGTTGAGATGAATCTTATCTGTTATGTGAAATTCCACACAGAGTGTACCAGGGGAAAGTATGGCACCAATTGTAACAGTAGTGTTGACATGTTGAGATGAATCTTATCTGTTATGTGATGTTCCACACAGAGTGTCCCAGGGGAAAGTATGGTACCAACTGTAACTCTGTCTGTGGCCACTGTGCTGATAACCTCACATGTCATCACATCACTGGAACCTGTCCGGGTGGATGTCAGGCAGGGTGGCAACTCCCCCTGTGTCTGGCAAGTGAGTATGGACGTCCTGGAACAAACACAATTGTCTGATTCTAAATTCTTAGTAGGTCAGTTTTGTTTCTGCTTCAACCAATAATTCATATCACAAAAAGTCATAAAAATCGAGATCATTTTCTAAATCTTACGGCAAGCCTTCACCCATTGATCTCACCAATGCAGTGTATAACACGTTGTCTCTTGTGTTAAAGAATTACAGACACTAACGGATTCGGCATTCACTCCCATAACAGCTGGTATAATCGGCTTAGCTGCTGGAATATGTTTTATGCTGATTCTTGGAGTTGGACTGTGCGTTGTGCTGGCGAGACAAGGGAGGTAAGTGAATCTAAAACTGATAAACACATCTCACATGACACTTTCAATCAGTTATGATGTTCCCAGTCCTTTCTGCAAATCATATTCTACAGTTCAGGTTCTTTATACATTGTACTTTGCAGACTGCAGTGGAGAACCTCTTCTCAGAAGGATCCCGTTAAACTCGGGGACACGCAAGAGCCGAAAGACGGAAGCACAACACAGCCGTCAGAAAACTGCACATCAATAGCCAAGCAGGATGGTGGTCACCACATCCACAACAATGACTATGATGTGCTGGATGTCGAGGCTGATGCGAACAATGACTATGACGCCATTAACACCAAGGCTTAAGAACTTTTGTAGAACATACATTTCATTCACTTTATACAAAACCCAAATAGTTCCACTTCTTGTAGCATAAAATATTTTTGTTGCTGAAATATTTCTTTATTTAAATTCTATATTTCCACTTATTTCCCTATTTACCTGGATAATATCCTTCCGTACTTTTTATTCTGTTCAGTTATTTATTACCCAAACTTCAATCACCCGCTAAACCGGGACACCGGGTGTCACTGATTGATCCATTCATATAACTTCCATAGCTATTTACTCATTAACACCAAACGGAATTTGTTTCTGGAGATGGTCAACACTAGGCATTCTTTTGCACTGATGCTCTGTTCTTAACATATATGCGTTTACGTCATGGCATGCTAAATCTTCGTGCGTCGTCGTCGTTGTTTCAACATGCTGCATAGTGCGGTGGATTATGCTTTTACATGAATATTGAAGTTTCCACTTGAAAATTTGACCGTTCACGTAATTCTGCGAAAGCGCAATCTGGATACCAACTCTACCGTATCTGCGAGGGCCGAAACTGAAAATTAGGTTGTGTGTGTTTAGTTTTACGCCGCTTTTAGCAATATTCGAGCAAAATCACGGCGGTGACACCAGAAATGGGCGTCACACATTGAATCCATGTGGGGAACCGAACTCGGCGTCTTCGACTTTAACCATCAGGCTACCCCGCCGCCCTAGTTTTTAGGGTATCAATAGAGACTATTCGCCTTGATTACACACTTTTCCTTTTGTATAGACGTGATCAGTTAAGATATTCCTGTTTTGTTTTCGTATTTATTTTTGCTTTGTTTTGGTCTGTTTGGTTTTTGGGGGGTTGGTTTTCTTTCCTTTCCTTTACAGATATGACCCTAACGTCTTGTAAGCAACACCAAAGACTTTGGATGACTTTCAGAAACAAAATATTTCCAAACACTCAGTATTTTCATAAGGCTGGTGCTTTGTTAACATCAAATATTGTGATTGTACTTAATCAGCAGATACGTATGGCAACATGTGTATGCAAACATTCTGTTGAAATGTGTCTTATATATTCAACTCGCGATAATATGTTCATTTTTAAAAACATTTACCACAAATAAACACATACCAACTCGAAAAATCGAATCCAATTTGTTTATAATATTGCTTTGATGAGTTTTGTATGATTTTGACAGCGTGGTTTGGAATAACCTGTAAAATGTATATTGACATAAAAGACCGCGTACAACAACCTTATATTTTTGAGTATCAATAGGAGGAATCGTGGACACATCATTATAGCAACAAATGTTTGAGTCAGTCGAGCCACCTAGGTCGATTCGAGTAGTTAGTGCAAGAAGCAGGAGTATGAGAGTGGAAAAGCATACGAAACGTATAGTGATCAACTGCCTGCTGACTAAGGATTTACTCAAAACATCATCCATAAAGTAAAACACGTGCAACTTCGTCTCGAACTTTAAATAGTTGTGCATCAGTGTGTTTATACGGGAATAGCTTGAGGACGACTTCTGAAACAACATAGGGAATTCCCGATATGGTGATGACCGACTTTAGAATGACTGAGTGACATATAGCTTGTTCAAAAGGCATTTCCCAGGACAGAGTACGTTCCAAAACTTTGTTAAGGAAGAAAGAGTCAGATTTTAAAATTCCAAAACGTAGGACATCGAAAACGCTCAAGGAAGAAGATATCTAATGGTAAGCTGGCCCTGTTTGAAGCTGATCCAAAAATGTTCTTGCAACGATTTGGAAGTACATTTGCTCTTGTGCACAATCTGTCATGGACAAGGCTACAATCCTTGTGACCATACTTTTAACCCACTCACTAACTCACTCACTACAATCCAAACTTGTAGTCTTAACTTCTTCGGCACCCACCTCGTTCACATGGTCTGGCTTCTTCAGGCCTCCATATGTTCACAAACATAAAGAACTCTCTTGTCAGAAGCCAGTACATGTCGATAGCAGCTCTGGAAGACCTTTTGGTCGAAAGAAGTACCTCCACAAAATTAGGATAAAATACCACCAATTTTGTTGGCAAAAGTAAATGAAAGCAGTACGGGACTATGTTGGAAAGTGTATGATTTTAATGTCTTTTGGGACTGGTGCAAATAACACACGCCATGTAATAGTGAAAATTATACTTTGAATATGCCGAGTCTGCTGCCAGTGTGATAATTTAACTGTTTAATCAGTTCTGTTTAGTACAAACAATATAGTTTCAAGTTTAACAAGACATATTCGAAAAATGCACAATCTAAGGATCCTGCTCTTTGACGATAGGTTACATTATAAGTTGTCCACGAGGGGGACATGGAATGATGTACAGAAGAAACATCGAGGGTACATTAACCCATGGGCCCCGAGAGACCAGTGAACAACGTATTTGTCTTACACCTCAATGGTAATTTTGAAGTGTTTGAAGCATGCGTACCAGACGACAAGACGAAAAGAATAACAAATTTAGAGTTACCTCCCTTCCATCGATTTGCATTTGCAAAACATCGGCAATTTCTGTAGACCGGACGTGATTCAATGTTATTCGAGATAAAGTATTATTACTACGAAGTACCAAATGAGTTCGGCATTCCCAGCGGGGTTCACAGAAAATGTTACTCGTTTGTGAGCGGGGTACATTACAAATAATAGAAGAGTGCTCAGCCAATCAGAAAACGACATTTATGTGCGAGGCAAGATAATTTCACACGTCCTGTATTACAGGGAACACTGTAAGTTTGACGTAAGTGCCTTCACGAGGATAATGTTATTGTCTCTTCATACATGTTGATAGGACTTGGGGTAGATGCTACACTTCCTATTAACACACCACGGAGAAAATATACAGTTCATCTTTGTCAGGCAGCTTCCTGACAGGCATGCTCACGTAACAAGAGGCGGTGGCAGATTATAGTTATCCATCCTGCAACAAAGAAATCAACATCCATCAGCCATTTCTTTGGTGTCATTCCGAAAGAGAGAGTTTTCATAACATGACAACTTTCAGTTCTTTTTACCACGTTTGTATTTGTGGCAACATTAATGTTCATAATATGTAACAGATACCATACGCATGGTACTGCTGGAGGTGAAGGAAAGGAAATTCATTCTTGTAATCTGTCATTGTGTAGGGTATGCGACATACAAAGACTGGAACATGGTGCGGGTATGGACCTTACACATACTGTTAAGTGTTGCTAGATGCCCACGTTGCCCCCAGCGACTTCTGGACAGATAGTACAGGGGGACACCCAGCAGCATGATGCAGAAGGGGACTATGTATGTTCCAGGCTCGTACACGACAGCTGTGATAGACAACACCAGGAAAAAAACAACATAGGTGACGGGGAACACCCAGTGAACCTGATGAAGAAGAATAAATTGATAGATTCATAAAGTCGCAATATAGCATACACAAAAAGGTTCTAAATTTAATAAGGTGTACCTTATATGTCTGTTTGGTAGCTGGATGTTTGCTTCGAATTCTGAAGACTCCCAGTACGCCCCAAAACTCCCCACCTGCTTTGAAGAAGGAGTATGCTCCGAGGACAGACCTGACATCTCCAAGACACATGAATATGACGGCAACCACGAACTGTACAACATTGAAATGGCAACGAAAAATAAATGATACTTTGACTTTTAGACATTTTTGCTGTTTCCTGGAAAAATAATGCAAACAGGAATTGCACAGCGATATAATTCAGTGTCACTGTAATATAGCCTCGTTCCTATCACCAGGTAAAGCGTCTTCAAGGGAGAGGGGATAAGGGAAACAGAGAGCTTTTAATGCTTACATACATTGTAAGTGATGCAAATACTTGAACTGGATATAAAACCCCATTTCACTTTTACTGTTTCCAATTTGTGTATTGTCCAAGAACATCACACAATCTTATGTTACTTCCAGGTTGACCCGTGTCCTATATTTCAGAAAACTGGATGTAATTTCAATAATCCACAAAACTGGGTTAAAGCTTTAAATGCAATAATTCAACTAATTTGATCGACACCGAGTCACCAGTACCTGTTCTCATACTGAACATGCAGGTCAATCATCTGTGTCTGTCATGCTGGATTACTGAATATCTTAATTGAATATTGATACCTTCCCCAGATGGAAGCTGCCATACCAGAGTAAAGATGGAGGGCTGTGGTGTCCTCCGCTGTACGTTCACCATGCCCAGGAATCGAGGGAATAGCCCATCACGTCCTCCAACAAAGTTTAATCTGGAAGAGCCCAGGGTGCCGTTGTACAAAACAACCTTAGCGCTATATCTATCGCACGTCTACGTTAACGTGGGTGCTGCGATAACACATTGGCTAATATCTCTTTGTGCAACATTATCCTGATTTATGAAGACAGTATCAAAGGGCAATGACAGCAGCTGTTTGGAATAATTTTTTCATATCTCCTACCCCACACGTGGCACCCAATAACAAGGCAGGCTAGACAGAGGTTTACCTAAACAAAAACAGGAAAGCACGGTACGAGGGCGCGGTGGGCGAACTTGCTTAAGCGCCAGGCGAGTGATCCAGCGAGCAAGAGGTGACGTGACCGAGTCCACCTGTGACCGGGTGTAAAAACCTTGGAGTCAACTTTGTGTGCAGGCTCTTTCAGTGTTGTCACAACCCCTAGTGTACAGTACACAACCCTGTGCACTTAAAAGAACCCACGAATCCGTTGGTATATGACCAGATGGTGGCCACATGAATACGTGCAAACACCTAGTTGCGGGTACAGCAACGTGCAGTGAACAAAGTACTGTGACTATGTGTCCCATTCCACCCAGCTGTGAAATGTGTACCCCGTAAGGATAGGAATGACACAATAACTCGGTGCGCCTATTGGCTGCGAGAGTTGTATGACCCCCAAGGAGTTGAGATTGACAATACGATATGCCGTTGAGATTGACATCCAGTGAACGATGGGGAAACTAAGCGCCTTTGAGCAGCTGAGCTGATCTGGATATCGGCGCTATACAAATGTTAGTATGTAGTGTAATGTAATGAGTAGGCATGGGTCAAACTGGATATGCCCCTCAACATGTCAACCTCCATACCTTTTTCAAACATTACTACGGCTTGGAATGCCGTCACCCTGATCAAACACGTCCCGAGCCGTGAGCCACTCTTTGAAGTCTTCGTAGACTGTACCTCAAAATCTGCAGCTCCAGAAATATCACTCAATATAAGTGATGAGGAGGTTGCGGTTGGGAAGTTAAATGATACAATGATAAAACCATTTTTGGAATCGTAAACATAGGACGTCAGTGCAAAATGGTACCTAGTCTTCAACATCCTCAAAAACACATTCTGTTTGACGTAATGGGAAATCGGTTGTGAATATGATAGGAATGTATAAGGGGAAATCAGTAGTGCGCCTGTCATCTAAAGGCGGACAGTAAACAAATCAGACAATCAAGTGATCGATAAACCGGAACATGCAGTTAGATTATTGTGAATCGCTACTGCTGGCTAGAAGAAGACACAAAAGAAAATCTCAGAATATTAAAATACCTGTCTTGCTTTGAATTGAATTACCTGGACGAAGTGAATATTGCAGCATTTGCTATTCCGCCCGCTGATACTGCCACACACGGGAGAATCATCCACTTGAACAATCCCAGCTTTCTTTCTCCGAAAGTCTACAAGGACAGAGCGGTGATCAGGATTTTAAATTTCAGTAACGTTTGACTTGATAGATAACCAATAAATTGCTTTCATATTTATTGTAATATCTGTTTATATATGAATGTTTTGTTACTTACAACAGCAACTGCAATTCAAGAAAGAATCTCGTCACTAGTGAGAACAGCATGGTAAGCAACGTTGCCAAGAATGTAGGCAAAGGTCGGTATGGCAAGTCCACCAAGAACAGCTAAAGAAATGGTTCTAGGAAATGAAATGGAATATATCTGACAGTCTAAATTATAAGTGACTAGGATATGTCAGGTCAGTTTAAGTGTTATTGTTTATATATTTTTTGGTTTTTATTCTGAATGCATGTCATTTATCAGACATACATTCCCAAAAGTGTTATTATACATTACGTTATTAGTGTCAATATATTATTGGATGAAAGTATTTAAGGCAGAGCTGAAAGAACTCAACGGTTTGACATGTTACAAAAAGAAAAGTGTCCATTTTAATTGTTACTTGACATGAACTGTGGGTCAAGCTTTGATTACCTGTGTGGACTCACGACTTCTTCTACAGCCACGTTCACGTTGTCCCTATGTATGACAGTAGGGCAGTATGAAGTGAACGGTTTTGTTTATGGTTTCAGCTTAAGTTGAATATTTTACTAAGGCATTGAGTGCCATTGATCTCTATTAGTTACACCAATCTCTATACATAAGGGGTTGATGTGATTTTCATGTTTCCAGACTTAAGTACCTCACCAATAGCTATCTTTGTATTTCAAAATTAACGAACGTGAAATTACAAATCAGCTTACCAGCCACCATACGCATACAGCCCAGCGTAAAATCCTAAAGCAACATTACCAGGGTCTAGGCTTGTTGGTTTGAACGGTTCGCTGAAGTTTTCTGTGTGACCTTTTTAACAGGGAAGCATCGTCACAATCATATATTTTTAATTGATAGCATTGAATTGAAATGTCAGTATATAGCACGGAAATAGAAGTTCGTTATGTAATGACTGCACTCTCAAGAGACCACATGCCATTGGTATGAGCATTTACAACAGAAGTAAGATCCTTCATATTATCGGCAGTTGACTATAGGAATATGGTTGACCTTGCTTTACTGAAGTCTAGTGTCTTACACTGGGACTAAACTGAGATCGAGTTTGACTAAGGTGTATGCGTCTGATATTTCCACAGGTGCAATGGGAAGATGATTTCAGCCCAGAATCGATATATATATATCCTTGGATATAGCCTAAACTGAGATATGCTACCTAAACATACAAAAGATACTAACCTTGACATATATGTAAAATCCCTCCTACGATGATACTAAGAAGAGCAAACACTTTGCAAACTGTGGAAATAGTTTGCAACTGGGCACCCAGTCTTACACTGTACATGTTTGCCATCACAAAGAACCTGCAACATGAACGTACAGTACACTTCACAATGTTTCTATCTGTACGCATTGCACCGCAGGAGTACATATGGCTGTACTATGTGTCAATGTAATTTGGCATTTTGGCTTGGTAAAGAAGCCCTCGAAGATAAACACGTTTGTTTTTTGCAACATATATTTGTATAATAAAATAATCGCCTTTAAAACGATCTACAATAAATGCGTTGTGTTAGCGAAATAGTGAAAAGTGAAAGGGAACATTTTATACTTTTTGGTGACATTTACAACAATTGTTTCCTCTCCACCAAAGATAACTGTACCAAGTATGACAAATCCAAGCATGACTTTGGATGTCGTGGGTGCCAGGTCAGGACAGGTCTTGAAGAGAGGCCTCATGATGTATTCTGCAGAAGCCAAGGACGCCAGAACCACTGACAGAGGGCGTACCAGAACCAGCTGGGTCCAAAGGAATAGGAACCCGGCCAAATCTCCAAAAGCCTCTCGGATGTAGGTATAGCTTCCGCCAGATTTCTTCACACGAGTCCCTGGAACATTCAGCCCTTAAGTTACACACATGACTGACTGACTGACTGAGTTTAGTTTTACGCCGCTTTTAGCAATATTCCAGCAATATCACGGCGGGGGACACCAGAAATGGGCTTAACACATTGTGCCCATACACACATGAACACAAGTTGCATTTATAGCCTTCTAAAGAACAAAGGAGCAATAAACGTCGCGAAATAAGAAGAATGCGTTAGTGTTGACCGACATGATACTAACGGCTGAATGCAAGTGCCAGTATCGGGAGTGAGAGCGGAAGGTTGGTGGTTCGAATCATGGTGATGTGTCTCCAAAATAGGTTACAGGGTGGTACTTGTTGTTTCTTGACATTAATGGAAACAAAACAAGGATTGGTCGTCCTTTCGTCGTGTCCGAGACTATGTGTTCTATTGCATATAATGTCTGCAAACTGTACCATATTCAGCGTAGCACATGGCTGCACAGTAGGTAAGTGCTCCACACATCGTCCACACGAGGAGAGATAAGCCCACTGAAGACCCCATCCCTTCAAGTACGACAGTCGGGCTGATGAAGATGCCTGTCCCTGTGCATGAATATAATAAACATTACTACTTTGAAAGAAACCCGTTTGAGAGTATTGATGGACATGAAAACACAACAGACACAGATTCATTCCTGTCAGATCAAGAAGTGCATGTTCCATGGGAAACTCTATCCGATATCACCTGTTATTTTGCTGGCTCACAAACTTACTTTCATCCCTCTAAACCTTATGAGTGAGTGAGTGAGTAAGTAAGTTTAGTTTTAGGCCGCACTCGAAATATTCCAACTACATGGCGGCGGTCTGTAAATAATAGAGTCTGGACCAGACAATCCAGTGATCAACAGTATGAGCATCGATCTAATCAATTGGTGTCAACCAACTCAGCGAACCTCACCACCCAATCCCCTTAGTCGCCTCTTACGACAAGCATTGGTTACTGAAGATCAATATTCTAATATTCAATATTCTACCCGGATCTTCACGGGATCTAAACCTTGTGAAATAAGCATACAGTTAATAGATATTCGCTTAAAGTGAATGTTAAACTCTTGCATGAAAATTACGTGAGCGTGGCATGACTATATGTTTTGAGATGGCTGGTGTTAGTCCATGAGTGTGGATTGACACCGCTGTATACAGCGTTGAGATGACAGGTGCTAGTCCATGAGTGTGGATTGAGGCCACTGTATACAGTGTTGAGATGACAGGTGCTAGCCAATGAGTGTGGACTGAGACCGCTATATACAGTATTGAGACGGCAGCTGTTAGTCCATGAGAGTGGATTGAGGCCGCTGTATACAGTGTTGAGATGGCAGGTGTTAGTCATTGAGTGTGGATTGAGGCAGCTGTATACAGTGTTGAGATGACAGGTGCTAGTCAATGAGTGTGAATTGAGACCGCTGTATACAGTGTTGAGATGACAGGTGCTAGTCAATGAGTGTGGATTGAGGCCGCTGTATACAGTGTTGAGATGACAGGTGCTAGTCAATGAGTGTGGATTGAGACCGCTGTATACAGTGTTGAGATGACAGGTGCTAGTCAATGAGTGTGGATTGAGACCGCTGTATACAGTGTTGAGATGACAGGTGCTAGTCAATGAGTGTGGATTGAGACCGCTGTATACAGTGTTGAGATGACAGGTGCTAGTCAATGAGTGTGGATTGAGCCACCGCTGTATACAGTGTTGAGATGACAGGTGCTAGTCAATGAGTGTGGATTGAGGCCGCTGTATACAGTGTTGAGATGACAGGTGCTAGTCAATGAGTGTGAATTGAGACCGATGTATACAGTGTTGAGATGGCAGGTGCTAGTCATTGAGTGTGGATTGAGGCCGCGGTATACAGTGTTGAGACGGCAGGTGCTAGTCATTGAGTGTGGATTGAGGCCGCTGTATACAGGATTGAGAAGGCAGGTGCTAGTCAATGAGTGTGAATTGAGACCGCTGTATACAGTGTTGAGACGGCAGGTGCTAGTCATTGAGGGTGGATTGAGACCGCGGTATACAGTGTT